GAATGGGGCGCGCGCCCAGACAGGGCCACACGAACACCCTGGTGTTTACTGAGCCGCCCACTTGTAGGACTCTTGCCATTCCACTCCCTTGGCCTCTGCAGCAGAGTCGAAGTTTTTCCACGGAAGGACTACGTCTCACTACACAGTATGAACTTTGAAAGTCCAAGTGCAGGGGATGTATCTCTCATGTTACTTTCCTTGCTTCCCTTTTCTCCTTTTGTCACAGGCACTCACAGGACATGGTGACTTGAAGAATGGTCTACACAACCTTTAGCACTTTGTTACTAAGGCAATCTTATGGAGGCTAGTGCCACATTACATAACTTCCGCGATATTAGGTGCACAGCCAGCAAAAACTGCTAAAAATAAATCCTAAGTCTTAAAGAAAACTTACAATGAACTCGGCTTCCTCAGAGTAAAAGAAAACTCCCACTTCGATACTGCTTGGTGGTAATACAAGATAATCCTTCAGAGATGGAAGGCGTACTTTGTTCTGGAGCCAAAACCACCCAATCTGCCCAGTTTTTGAATTCTGCCTGATCCCGTAGAAGGAACTGCTAAAGGCCACCCATGGACCAGTCCACGGAGCCAGGAGACTGGCCTCAGGGAGCGGCCACGTGGACCAGAAGGTCTGTGATCAGGCCAGGACGAGGGCTGCCCTGGCGCGCCCTGGTGAGGGAGTTGCCCTTTCAAGTCTGGGTACTAAGCACTTCACTTCTCTTGCCCAACCTTGGTCCCTGCTCTGCTGAAGATGGAGGGGCGTGCCTACATCTGAAAGGAATAAATACCCGGTCACACATGTCATTTCCTACTCTGTCATAATCGCATTGGAATAATATCCAAAAGCCAGATGCTGGCACATAAAAGCCCTCCTTCAATCCCCTTGTCATAAGGTTTAAAATAGTCCCAGCAGCACTGGACAAGATGCATCTAAGGCTGATCTTGACACTGTTTACTCCGGAAATCTCTCCTCTGTGAGTCTGAAATGAGCACGGCCAGCACCCCTCGGGTCCTTGCCACTCATGCCTGTGCACGTTGCAGACCCGGGGGTTTCTTGTGGCCTCTCGGGATGACCTATACCTAGAACCGCACAGCCACCTGCATCCCGACAGCAAGAATTTTAACATCAAGGATCATGACAGCATTAACATTCCCAATAATCAAGTACCCGAACGTTAAAAATCTGAACTCTGGCATAGGATTCGTACACCCCATTTGTACTGATTTCCTCTCCTCATTCTGTCTTTCTTCTTTATCTTGCTTTAAAAGTGACACCCATAGTAAAATGTGTGGACCTGACTTCCCAGGAAGCCTACCTACTACTCTCTCAAACTTCTCAGCCAGAGAAATTGAACTGGACAAAGTTACATGTGATTTCCACCCTTTTGCCTCTCCTAATGAGGCAACCCCCTGCCCCTGTCTTGAAATAGACTTTTCTGGGATTGTGGCTCCATGACCAGACTAACAATTAAACTCTAAACTCCAGCTGCCTCCTTCAGCTCTTGTGAAGAAAACCTAAAGAGGGAGGTGGCCCTGCTGCTGAGGCCGGGGGAGCCCCCTGGAACTGGGGTCAGGAAAAGAATCTCTTAGTTTCTTTCTGGTTTTAGGAACATAAGAACACTGGGGGCCACAAAAGTGGGACGTTGTATGGACTTGTTGCTTCTCAGGAATGGAAAAAGTGAGGGTAAAAGGGTTATTCATGTTATACATTTTTTCCATTGATTGTTTTACTTAAAAAGAATATGTCATTTCCCTGGAAAACTGAGGAGGGGGGATATTTTCTTTAAATATTTTCAGACATTTGCAAACGGTTACTCTGAACTCCCCAATGTACCATAAACAAGTGTAAACTGTAGAAATTCAGAAAATGTGCAAATACAAACAGTTATCCCCAAGCTCCAAGGCAAAGACAGAGAAGGGTGTATTCCATTTATAAATGGAATTCTTTGTGGATAGAATAGTTTGGGAAATGTTTATACATTGTTCTCCTTATTATTTTGGGGGATATTTTTTCCCAGCTTAACAGAAGCTGCAGAACTGGTATTTGGAGTCTAAAAAGTTGAAGATTAAAGAAGTTTACAACCTTTTAGAATCTTCGCCTAAAAACTTAATTAGTTCTGCAGGTGGGAAAATATTTGCCTATTAAAATAATTTGTTCTTGAATCAACAAAGAAGAATGCATAAAGTCAGGTTACCAGGAACAGAATAATTTCAACATGGAAAAAAAACTATATACACTGACAAGAATTTGTAAATATGATTATTTCTTTGAAGATAACTATAGCTACCTGGATTATTGATTCAAGATACAGTCTTCCCTGACTCTATTTAACATGGAAAAAAAAGTTACCAGTATGAGAGTGGCAGCAGAGTGACAAGAAGAAGGAACCCTGATTGAAGTTACTCACAGACTTTCCTACGAGAAATAGTAAGATGAGTCAGCAGCAAGCAGGTGGAAAAATTGTTCACCTGCATCTCACCCACCAAACTGAGGTTTGGATTTGGTTTCTAACGCTTTCCACTTTGGCTTTAACTCATCAGCAAGCAGTGCTCACTGTCAGGGCACGAAAGGCATCCAGCCTTTTATTTAACAGATGCATTTCCAATTCCACAACCATACAAACTGGCTGGGTTTTTGAAGGCACAGAAGAAGAAGAGCACCATGTGGGCACAGAAACCAGGAAGGGCCCGAGCAGGTGAGTGAGTTACGGCAGGCTGAGACTGTGCTGCAGACTCCGCGAACTACAGAGGGCAAGAGCACATGTGATTTACTGGAGGAGAGGCGGTCCTTCCCCGTCTTAAATCACCTTCCTTGTCACCCCGCGGTAGCTGGCAAAGCCTGAGTGTCTCTGACTTTAGAGAAAAGCTGTAATTTCTTGGAGGGACCCATCATAAAAAAAAAAAACTCTCTAATCTCAAATGGCTATGGATAACTTCATCTTACTTCTTCTGAAACTAGCTAAAACCAGGTTAATGTTTTTAGTAACGACTCGGGTCCACGCACAAGACCCTCACCTGATTCTTTATTCAGAAACATATATCATCCATATAGCCATAATATATTTTATGCTTTTATGTTCCATGGACCTCATGCTATTTAAGGGCCAGGGGCACCATTCTCAACCTCGTCACTTCTCACTCCAGTAATAGTAGTAAAATCTTTCACCTTCCCACTCGTCCCTTTATGTCATCTGAATGAGTGATATTAGAATTTGTTTAAAGTTACAATTCCTGATGCTTTCTGGTGTTCTGAAGGCCATCACTTCCTTTGTCCCATATCTTCCCATTAATCACTGCTTTGTTAACCAGATGAAATTACTCTGGTGGAGAAATCAGGGGCATTTTCAATTTGGGCAACTCTGAGAAGGCTGAGGCCATGTGTGTTCCGACAACAGCATTTGTAGATGTAAAATCAAGAAGAAATGAACTCACTTTTAGTATTCTCCCCCTACTGGCACAACATCAATGGACAGGGAAACCTCAAATTGTGCTGGCTGAGCATCCCCTCTTGCACCATCACCCACCAAGTGCCCCCTGCTCTGACCCTGTGCTTCCCAGGCAGACTCTGGCTGTAAGGCACACAGGTGCCCATGTCAATATGCTGCACTTAGGGACGATGGTCTGGACAAACATACCACATCAACTGTTCTGGACCACACCTATATTTCCCAGTGGAGTAGAGTTGTTATTCTAGATTCTTTGTTCTTGTAAAAACAAGAATTGAACACTGTCAATTAAAAAAAGAACACTTGAACCCTATCTAAACACTTAGAGAAGTTGGTAGGTGGGCTTGTTTTGCTCTAGGAACTTTCCCCTAAGACAACTGAGGTGGATAAAAGAATTTTATCAAGCACTCTAACAAAGGGACCAATTGGCCTATTCTCTTACAGTGGCTTAAAGAAAATGTGTCTTGAGTCAGACAGGCTGAATTTGAGTCTTGAATCTGCTTACTAACTTGATGATCTTGGGCAAGTTATTTAATTTCTGTCTCAGTTTCCTCATCAGTAAAATGAAGGCAATAATAATTGTCATATGGATCCAATCTAAAAAAAATGGCACTGAAAACCACTCGGATGACATCCCGTATACACATACATGAGCCACTGCTCTTCCCGCGCACTCCACTTCCTTCCCCTCCCAGGCCTCCCCTCCCTGGGTTTACATGCCCACCGACATCTGTCAACGCCCAAGGCAGGCATTGCATCATGTCCACCTTTGTGTCTCTCCAGCTCCTGGGAACTATGCACAAGTTTTGAGAATGTTCCTTTCTCTTCCTTCCCTTTCCATAAAGTGTTAATAAACTTCAACTGGATGTTAGCATGTTTGCTGCCCTCTTGGAAAGGCAGGGAGAGCTCCAGGCTCTGGGTTGGGCAGACCTAAGTTGAGTACTGGTTTCCCTCCTCACCAGCTCTGACTTGGATGACATCTCCAAGCCTCACCTTCCTCCTTGGTAGGAGGAGGAGGATGCCAATTCCACCAGGCTTGGCGGGAGGTGCCAAACCTGGCTATCAGGGGCACACTACATACTCGAGTTCCCCTTCCCCTTACTGAAATCCTGGACTCACTATCCAAGGCTCACTTGGAACGAAGCAGGATTCCCCTGCTGGGGTCAGAAGTGTGCGCTCTCCTCCACTGCAGCAACGTGGCTCTTTTCTCTGTCAGAGCCTCCCACTGTCTCCAGAGTGGAGCCACCCACCAGCTGAGCTGCTGATTTTCTCCAAAAATTCGGAGAAAGCAAAGCTGGTCAGTGACGCTGGAAGCATGCCCTGGGGAATGCTGGTTGGTGACAAATGAAAGAAGAGATCCCATGAGCAGGAGCTGTGAGCGGCTGCTCCAACACTCTGCAGGCACAGAGGCTCACCGGCTTGGGCTCCACTGGCACAAGCCTGTAAGAAGGGTAGTTTTTGTTTTCATCTCGCAGCCGCGGTTATTGAGAAAACATGGTGAGTTGGGACATTCTGCCTACGAGTATACCAGCTCCAGGACGTTGCCCCGCTTACCTTTTACCAAAGCCCTTTAAACCTCATGACTGAATATTTACCAGCCTTGAGTACCTTGCTCCACACGTCTTCCTCTTTTTCAGTAAGGTGAATTGCAGAGGTGAGCACAACGACAAAGTGTAATTAAGGAGATAGTGGTTCAAGTTAGGTTCAGGACTGGGCTTCAGCACTAAAAAAGTGACCTTGGGCATGGCGCTTACATGCTGTGACCCACTCTCGTTAGCTGTGAAATGGGAATGATGTTGGATCAAAATGATGACAGTGACCACGCAAGGTGTATTGTAAAACGTGTAAGATTAAATCATGATTATCAATTCAATCTCTCTCACCTTCACCTTGTGGAAAAACAAAACCAACACCGAAAAGCTACGGAGAGGTGCGCTGGCTCGTGGAGAGGATGGCCTGGGTGGACATACAAACCTTTTACTTATTCTGATTTCTAATTCGGAGGCACCTCCTTTTGAGCGGAGGCTCCAGGTCCTCGGGCCCGGCGCTCAGCATGGGCGAGGAGATGACGCAGGGCGCCAGGGCAGTCTTCTCCGCGGGTTTTGGCACAGGCTGGATCACGCAGCCCGTCTTGGGCAGCATCCGCAGAGCGTAGGCGTGGTCCTCGTCCGCGGGGTTATTAAGGTTCGGGTCTGACTTGTCGCCCCCCGCCAGGGCCTCCTCCTCCATCAGCTTTTTGGCCGCCTCCCCATCCAGGTGGCAGTTGGAAGCACAGTTGTTCTCCTTGACGGACTCCAGCTCGCTCACTGCGGGCTCTTCCGGCGACAGCAGCTTCTTAGAGGGCGCGGGCGGCGGCGGGGGCTGCTCGGGCGGGGGCTCCGCGCTCTTGGAGCCCTCGGCCGCGGCGCCGCGCGTGCCGTTCACGATGACGTTGCAGGCCGCCGCGGCCTCGGGGCCGGCAGGGGCGCCCGGGCCCGGGTCGCCGGCGGCGGGGGGGCTGCAGTGGCCGTCCCTGCAGCCCCCGCAGGTCCTGCGCTCCGCGGCGCCCGGCTCGCGCTCCGCCTTGACGTGCGCGTGCAGCGCGCGGTGGATCACGTTGTGCAGCCGGGCCCGGTGGCCCACGGTCAGGTCGATGACGCCGTCCTGCGGGCCTTGCAGCACGCCGTGGAAGCCGAGCTGGTCGCCTGCTCCCGGGGGGCTGCCGGAGCGCCGCGTCAGGTCCACCACCTCGCCTCGGCCGTGCTCCGCGGGCGCGGGCGCCAGGCTCAGGGCCTGGCCGGAGCAGCCAGGCGGTGAGTCCGCGGACTTGGACGAGCCCTGCTTGGAGTCCCGGGGGGACAGGGAGTGTCCGCCTGGCTTGCCTCCTGCTGCCGAGGAATCGCCAGGGGCGCTCGGAATGAAGTTCTCCCCGTTGCTGGAAAATCCGTTGGGGGGCTTGGAATCATTGACGTGAGGGATGGGAATAGGGATGGGGATGGGCACGGGCAGGGGCACGATCACCGGGTATGGCACGAGCAAGGTGGGGGGCGGCACCAGCGGGGCAAGCGACGGCAGCCCGAAATTCATCATTTGGGGCACAGGCATTGGGCCATTTGGCATCATGCTCACTGGCGGAAACGGGAGACTTGGCAAGGGCGCGCCCGGAGGTGGCGGGGGCAGCAGGCCCGGGGGATTCCCGGGCATGGTAGGGGTGCTTGGGGGGTGGATGTGGGGTGATAGCATGGGCCGGTGCATGGGACTGGAAGTGGGGCCCAGGTTCCTGGGGCCGCCGGGCGGGGGACCGATGCCTGGAAGCATGGGGTTGGACAGTGGGCTGTTGGGGTTGGAGGCGTGGTGGGGAGGGCCGCGAATGAAGGGCGGGCGGATCTGCTGCATGATCTGTTGTTCCATAAAGATGGGCAGCGGCACCGGGCCGCGGTTGGTCATCACCATGGGAGGGCTGCGGGGCGGGACGCCGAGGGGAGGCCCGATGCTGGCAGGTGGCTGGACCGAGACCGGCGGGATGTTCGCAGTCTCGCTGATGGGCATGGACTTGGGCACTGGCGTGGGGATCTTAGTGACAGAGCAGTTGGCAGTGTCAGATGGAGAGACGGTGGTGGACGCCGATGGGCCAGGGCCCTGGCTTTGGCCAGCTGCAGCCACCGGGGAGGGGGCCTTCCTCCGAGCATCTGTTAGAGGAATATTCCAAGAGTCTGGAGTGAGCAGCTGCACCCCGGTGCCTTCTGCTTTATTTTCCATGGGAGGGTGTAATGTGCTGCACAGCCCAGCTGGAAGGTTGGCCTGTGTCTCTTTGTAGAAAATGTCCATTTTGTATTGATTGAGACATTTTGCACTGCAGAACTGAAGCCGCCTTTCCCCGTCCCCAAAATCCAGATACTCTTTTGTGTGTCTTATGTGCTTGCACCAGTCGCACACCTACAACACAGCAATGAAAGGAAACGAGTGAGACCAGCAGTTCCCTTCGGGAGGTGGCATTTCATGTTTCAGGTAAAGGTTCTCTCACATTTTATCACAATTTTTCAAACAGGCTGGAGAAGTGTTTCCCTCTAAAAGGTAAAATTCTGAAATGTTTGTCAAATGATTTCTCCTTGGACGCCAGAATTACTTTAGTAATATTAACTCTTGAGAACAGCAATTATTACCATCCGCCTATTTTCAAAAATATAAGAAATTGTGTTGTCTCCTTTAAGGTAGATCTGACCAAAAGGAATACATATAACCTGTCCACACATTTTCACTTGTCAAAGAGGCTCATCATAAGTGCAAATCTAAATGGTTTTGAAGAGAGGGATTCTCCAGAAAGTTCAATGGGCTTTGAAATATAGCCCCTTAAAATCCTCCTCGTGCAAAGTCACTTTGCATTATTGACTGCGTTCGGTAATGCAGTTGGAAAGCATGTGCCGTGCTAACCAATAACACAAAGCGCTGAACATCAGTATGTCTGCCGTCCAAGGGGAAACTTGGAATTAGTCGTGAAGTCTGTGTGAGGTTCAGCTATTCCCAACCTGTGATGTTGCGGCAAGCTACAATTATTTTTTGAGCTGTTTGCCCACTCTCTCTCAGTAGTCAGAATTTTTGGTGACATTTCTTGGCATGCAGTCTTATTTAACAACTTTTCAAACACCAGAGAACGTTTTCCAAAAGTTGTTATGGCTTCCCCCTCCCCCCGCCTTCAAATCTACTTACTCCTGGCAAAAGAAGGCATCACCAAATTTATTTTAAAGTTGGGCTGTAGAACTAATTAAAGGCTGAGAGCTTTTCCCAATTGGAAATCACTAGACATCAAAGTTCAAAAAATAGTCATTCTCGGCTTCAGAACCCATTACTTTGGAGAAATTATTGTGATTTCATTAACACATTAATTTTGCAACACCATCAGCTCTCACAGATGGTGAAGGCATGATCTACAATTCAAATATGACTCTTGTTTGCACAAATGTCTTTCCTTCATATGGCATTTTAAACAAGAATTAATATGAGTAATCTTGCCATAGCTATAAACAGATAAACAGATGTCAAAATTTTCAATAGTTCTTTCAGTGCCTTACTTTTTTGACTGAACATTACACACACAGTTTTTTTTCTTTTTCTTATCCTCCCCCCTTTTTAAAAATCATCTCCTCAGCACCCAATTCATACAGCAGCAGCGGAATTCTGAAATGCAGTGCAACAGTGAGTCCATTGAATTTGAGCGTCTCCTCACGAAAGCCCTGGTTCCAATGTTGCTCTGAATGGAACCCTGTTTTCATTGAGGAGGGTGTCTGTTGTTCTCTTGTTGGTGCATGTTGTTTCTTTTAAACTGTGATAAATTAATAGCATTAAAAGATGATACATTTTAGTAATGATTGGTCACATCAACTATGCAAAAACAAATATGCTGGGCATTTGATCGCTCATGTCCTGTAACTCTCAGCTTTCTCTGACTTCAACAGTGGTGGCAGGCTGTGTGGCTGCGCGGGCCATTCACTCTTCTCCTTCTCACTTTTTTTTTCATTGATATTTGTAGGCAATATACTTGATGGTCTGAGATTGAATAAAAAATACTTATTGGCACACATTCGTTTTTTGTTTGGTCTCACATCAAATTACTCTTTCAGTAACTTGTTGACAAAAAAAATAATTTCGATGCTAATATACTCCTGTGTTTCACTACAGTGTTTCGGTTTTCTCCAGAATGAAGGGATTTTTCAACAGAGTCATAGCTGAGATGTCTGCTTTATAAACAAGCACAGAATTGCTTCTGATGAGAAGACAAACAGAATCCATCAGGACCTCAAAATTATCATCTAGGTAGAGATTAAATAAGCTACAGTAAAAACTCGACATATGTAAGTTATTATTTTTAAGATCCAATAATTTTTATAAAGTTAATGTATAATGTTGTGACATTTAAATTCCAATATGAAATAAAGCCACCTGATCCTGTTTCAATACTAGGCATCCACAGAAAGCCTAAAATATCAACTTATAAGCTTTAAGTGAGGGATCAAATATAACTTCTTCGATCATGAACTAAAACACTTCAACAATGAATTAAACTAATTAAAATAATATACCAAAATTTCAGGCGTATTTTTTTGTGGAACTTCTTTTTTAACCATAAGGGGAAAGAGTTTTCTGAAATCCTTAATTGGTTTTTAAATTGCCAGATTGAATTATCTGCCTCCAGAGGATTCCTCTGTTTCCTCAAGCTAAATAAATATTTTCAAGTGGAGTCATAAAAGATCATCTAAAAATAACTTAAATGTTCTCCCTTCATTTTCAATAATTCATTGATGAGTAAGGAGTGCTCATAGAATTACCCCAATTATCAGATGAGAAGTCTCCACCGTATTTTATTTCCACATAACAAGAATCACAGACATCAAAGTTCCAAGCAAAGTTCTATTTCATCACACTCCCCAGTTAGAGCAAAGGCCTAATACTCAGCTGCCTGATTTTCTGCAGTGTGGCGAAGTGCTCAGGTGCTAGTGAGGCAGTTTGTGACCATCTCACTTTGGGTAATATGAGTGTGAATGTGTGTGTATCCTTGCCTTATTACTGTTCCATTCAGAATGCTATTCTAAAAATACAGAAAAGCCATCTTTCTGAGGAAGCAAAAAATTATTGGAGAAAAAAATTGTCACTTAAGAAATAATGAATCAAGTCTGTCTTACAGGACACATAATTTAAGATGAGGTCAATGAATTTACGGCACAAATGGCTATATCATGTGAGGCAGTAAAATGCAGTACCATCATTCATTCGACAGCTAACTAATGACACACTTCTAGTAATTAAAGATTTCAGCATAAGAGCCTGAGCTGATTACTTAAGATGTGGTGGTTAGGTGAAAATATATACTGTAGATCTTGCTCTTTAATAAAATAACATTTGCATATCCACAAAATACACAACATGTTTCTCATAAACTCGGGTTTTCTGAATTGTGGTGTTATGAGATATCCTTCCCTTGTTTTTCCACAGATGGCTTTAAAAAAAGCTTTGTGAGGCATTATTTTTCCTCATTATGCCAAGAAGTACCAAAATTCCTCCAGATATTTTAGGAGATAAAGATTGAGAAGTGCAGAGCGCAGCTCACTGGGCACTGGGATGATCTCCCCCAGTTCTGCCCCGGCTCCGTTTCTGTTGGAACCCAGCCCCTTCGGTTCCACTTCTCTCCCTAACAGGTCCCAGATTGGACAGAGCTGAGGCTGAGGCTGTTTAATGATGGCAATCTGGGGACCGAACAATCAGCTCTTGCAACGCCACTGAGCAAGACAGCTGAAATGCTTCGTATCACAAATACATAATGTATCACCAGGACGACAAAAAGATCACAAAGATAAACAAATGCGTACTCCATTCAACCCCATCACAAGAACAGTCCTCCAAACGATTAAATTCACCTTCCTGGGATGTGTCCAATTCTAAACAACAGAATGAACATTTCCTTTAGTCCATTTAGACTATTTATATTTTGGTGGCTGGCTGCCAGGGTAGTACTTATAAGCTCAGTGGCCTGATGGATTCACTCCTTTCCTGTGAAATAAATGTGTGGCAACCTACACCACTGAACTGCTCCAAAGACACTGCCTCGGCAGAAATATCACTTGCTCTTGATATAAGAAAACCGAAAGGCAGGACTTCTGGTTCCTATAACTCTTTCCATCTTGTATTTCCCCTGGAAAGAAAGAAAGCTATTCATGTTGGCAACTGAGCCTTTATTTTTATATAAACGTCCAAAGTCAAAGCCGAAGTATGCCATGAGGTTACCCACATGGGCACAATATATACATTCCGCTGGGCTTAAAGAGAAGATCTGGGTGATTGCAGGGGTGTGGGGGGCAGGGAACCTAATTAACACATTAATCAGCTGTTGGCTATGGGAATGAAGTTCATTCTTTAATGGAACCTGCCACACTGCCTTCTGAGTGTTAACCTGGCATCAGGCAATATTTAATTAAGAAATCCTTTTGCTGAAATCTTTCTTATCTAGGCAAAGACATTCTCAGCAATGGAACAGTAAAAAGATATTCAACAGTTTGAAAAACAAAATAAAACCTTTACGTGCTCTTGACTTTCTACAAATATAGGACCCAGGTAATAGCTCAGAAGCTGTAGCTCCTTAAGCAAAACTGTAACTTGCAATAAGATGCTGGTTTCTTAGATCTTAGCCTGTTAAATGTGGCATTGATCTTGTACACCAGGCCAGCTCAAAAAAATTATGAGCTCACCCAAGGTAAAGCAAAGGAGGACGAAGAGACGTGGGGGAGGGTGATCAGCGTTGTGCAGGGTCTGAGGTCTGCCCTATCTGCAGATGGCCACCTGACAGACAGCAGGGGTTGAGGCCTCAGACTGACCCCACCCAAACACTCACTTCCAGCCTGACCCAGCAGTCCTACGGTCCCACCATTAAACGGTTCCTTTGGGTTTAAGCACTGCTTCCGTTGGGACATGTGGGTGGAGAAGGATGCTATGGAAAACGTGTGGGATTTGGAATCAGAAGATTGGGGTTGGGGCCTGAGCGCCACTATTTACTAGCAGTGAAATCCTATGAAAAGTTCAGCTTTCATTTTCCCCATGTGGGAATGGAGCTAACGGTACTAACAAGTAATGCCGGTGTGTCAGGCACATCAGTAAGCTTGTTGCCTAGCGTGTTTTCTTCAGTCCCTAGCCTGTTTGCCTCATGTTGCTGATGTCCTAGGAACATCCCATATGTTTAAAGTTCATTTTAACTTAATGGAGGGATGTTTCTATGGCTGTGTGAGGAGGAAAAGAAAAATTTTGGTCCACAGCTTTCCTACGAGCCTGCATGGTTTTGACACAGAATGGAGCATGCTGCACCTCGCAGACACCAGCCTCCCCGCCCCCCACCCTGCTTCCTCGGAGACTGTCTGCAGGGGTGGTCTGCAGCGACGGGGAGCCGTGTCCTG